TGCTTACAAATGAAAAGTTGTCAATTTTGCTTTCCATACTTAAATTTTTAGGTAATACAGGCTCACTCTTCCAGTGTATTCACTTAAGTTTCTTGGTGGCAAAAGGGATTCACTTGGAGTACCATTATTCCAAAGGGGATTTGATGAGATGACATTTCATTTTCATTTCATTATAGTAGATATAATTGCTCCAAATCATTTTGCAATTACTAATACATTGTGAGTAATAATTATGTCATTTAAGAAAACCTAGGTGATTTTCAGAAGCTGAGGAATTCATTTGTAGGATGCTGACTGGGAAGCTCACAAATCTGTGGGGAAGCTCCACGGGGAGACCTCTCTGGACACCAGGTACACTGTTGATAACCCTGACCTTGGTGCCCTAGACCCTGCTGCCACTCTGTCACTGCTGCCTTTGAAAATCAGGCAGTGCTGCTGCCACCCTGCCCCATTACCAAGATGCAGCAGATGGAGGAGGTGGGGGGGGGCTTCACAAGAAGGCTGGGAAATCCAGAGCTCAATACTGGAGCTTGAGAGTGGGAAATGGACTCTGCCTCAGAAGTAGAGATGGGGCAAGTGCTCTTCAAGCCTTGGAGAGAGATCGGATGCTGGGTGGCCAAAAAGCATGATCCATGTCTATCCATGACATTAATGGAACTACGTTCTATAGATAAGTGTATTTGTTCCATTATACTTTCTCTTGTAGTAGATAGCTAAATGTTTTCAATGTTAAAGATGTATCTTTTTTTCAAAGTTTTATTTTTTTTAGTACGTTTGCTGTACATAATAAATATATTATAGGGAGTTGGTACATGTGCCCAATGCACCTGTATCTTCTTTACTGCTTGGGAAATTAAATTCTGCTTAGAATTTAAAAATTTATTTTTAATCTTAATGTTCTTTTCTGCATCTTCAGATTTACCTATGCATTTTCTACATTTCTATTTAATATAGCACTTAAAAATTCTTTTTATTGTGTATTTGGAAAATAATTATCAGAAAAAACAGTAGAAAAGAAAAGCAGGTATCTTTATTATTAACTATCATCATTTTTGTTTGGTTGGTTCTTTTCCTTTAGTTTATATCAGCAAAAGGTAGCAATTGGTGCTTAGGCTATGCTGCATTTTCAACCAGCTCCAGATTAGCTGATTGCATCCCTGTGGTTTTAACTCCCCCTGGTTTTTTCTCTAAATCTAATTATTGATTTTATGGTTCTCAACATCACTGATGATGAAAGTCTTTTTCTTTTCTCTTTTTTTTTCTCGGGTACAGTGTCTGGCTCTACCAAAACTATGACAATATGTCTATGACATTTGCAAACCAATAATGCTATATGTACAGTTTACTAACAATATTCTCTGAAGAATTTCATCAAATCTCAGCTTGCTGAGTTTTCATTTGAAGCAGATTTTGAGTTTTTTCAATGTCAGGATGTCTAGTATTTTAAATAAATGTACTGGATAAAGTAGCCCTGTGGACTGACATCAGAAATGAATTTCTCTCTTCCAATTTGGGTGGATCTTTGTTGCTCAATTCTCCTAGATGATTTGGGAAGAAACTTTGGTTTTGTTCTCGTCCAATGGGGGGGGGAGCAAAGAAAACTGCTTCCCAATGATTTTTCATTAGCATATAATAATTCATCTTTATTCAAGAGTATGTGTTAGATAATATATCCAGGCAGGCTCTGCTGAATTTTCTTTGTGAAACATGTATAACTTGTAAAAGTGAAAAACTTAATTTAGTTGGGATCTAAATATTAAAGATTGTTATTTCCAGTTGCTGTGCTAACTGTGCTAGAGAGAATCTTCCTTGCCCCTTCTTTTACCTATATCTCAAGAAGAACCCATAGGTTTTTAGTCACGCTAAGTTAATTAAAAGCAAATGAATATAAAAACAGTCTAGACCTCTTCAAAGCTTCAATTTCTTATCCAATTTAGCACACCTCCCTTTCTGATCCAAAGGGACATGAAGAGAGAGTGGCACATTATGCTCTCTCATCCCTGTCTATTATCTCTGCGCTATTCCCTGTTCACTTCTGGCTCTCCTGTTGCTGGTGATGGCGAGAAGGGCAGGCGTGTGGCTGCAACTCTCTGCTGGAGTGTGGAGGTCTGTGTGCTCAGTGCCTAGAGCAGGTTTCTTTGTGGGGAAGTGGGGGTGCATATGTATTTTTTTAGTAGATCCCACAGAGGCCTCTGCCTATTCCATGACACAAAATGTCTACTTCTAGTACAATTTCAGTTATCTTGAGTAGGGAAGCTTCCATGGGGAGGGCAAGGAAAAGCCATAGAATTCCTTATTGGAAGATTTGAACCATTTCTATTCTCTGCTAATATGGACTGGGGAAAAGGAAAGACATGAGGTAGTCACCTCTTACTAAACACCAAACAGGTGTTTTGTTTCTAGTTGTGGAGAATTTAACATTCTTACTTTGAGATCCTAGTTGTTAAATCCATTACAGTAGGAAAATCCCACTGAAGATCATGTTACACAAGTATTTTGATCTGGGTTTCCCAAAAGCAGACCTTGAGACAAGAAGTTTATTTGAAAGGGAATTCTGGGAAACACAGTGGGTAATGAGACCAGGAGGGGAACAAAGCCAATATGGGGTGTATCAGGGAGCGGTTAACATGATGAAAACTTGGGACCCAGTCCCTCTGGGAGCCCCCTGAGAGGCTGCAGCATCCACCCCTGAATCACCCTATTACAGTATCACTAGGGGAGAAGAAAGTGGACTGTTAGTCTACCGGTTTTCATCCTTCATTGACTTAGCACCTCTCCTGTGAGGATGCTCAAGTAGAGGGTCTCAACATAGGTGGCCATCAACGAGACAGAAGTAATCCTGAAGCTGCTGCTAATCCCCAGGGTAAACTGAGGAGCCATGGCAGTGAACCGACAGCATGTTCAAACAGGGACAGTAGACAGCATGCATAATCAGTCAGGTTGTTTTCTCTTTCTAATTCACATGGAGTTTTCACTCCTAGCCCACAAATGAGGAACACTGGAATTAAACTCTCTGTTTGAATCCTGGCTCTGTGCCTATCAGCTGTGTGATGCTGGGGGAAATGAGTAAACATCTGCATACCTCAGTGCCTCTGCTGCGTGATGAGGTAATAACAGGACCTCTCGGGGTTGGTATAAGGATGAAGAGAGTACCTAGCATGTAGTGAGTACTCTGTATGTGAGCTGCTGTTATACTGTATGGGGAAGCAGAAATATACTGGAGGTTCTTGTCTTTTAGAAATTTTTGTTTTAGAAATGGCAATTGGTGCTGGGGATTGAACACAGGGCCTTCCCACTGAGCTACATCTCCAGCCCTTTTTTAATTTTGCGACAGAGTCTCTTTAAATCACAAATTGCCCAGGATGGGCCTTGAGTTTATGATCTTCTTGTCTCAGCCTCCCAGAGTGCTGGGATTACAGGTGTGTGCTTCAGTTCCTGATTTCTCGAGTCATTTTTAAACTACCTTTCTGCTGTTCACATTTAAGTCACTCTTCTCATGCCACCTCTCACTATATGTTGTTGGATACATTTCCTTCCCAACCCCAACCTTTTCCTTCCAGAATCATTATTATCTCCAATTCCATTGTCTTAGCACTGATTTTAGTTGCCTTGGGCAAAGATAAAGCATGAGGGAATGGAAATGAACACGTGCAGGCATTAGTGTCATGGTGTGATAGTGATAATCTCCACCTGGCTGTAGACTCAAGCACCAATTCAATTCAATCCCAAATATTTATTGAGCACCAGATACTTTTCAGGCTCTGTCCTAGGCACTTGGGACATAGCAGAGTCACACACACACACAAAATCTCTGCAGTGCGTTGTTGGCTTTAGAGAATTATGATGATCCTCCTAATTACCAGGTAATGAGGGATGCACCACCCCTGCTTTGCATGGTTTCTCACTCTACTCAAGTGACTAGCTGCCTAGTTAAGAAACTTCGAGTACTTAGAATGAATTGGAGCTATTACAGGGCATTGAGTGCAGCCTCAGTTTGAAAGTGTTTGGCTTGCAGATCAGTAAGTCATAGGAGCACAATGACTGAAAAAATTACAATCCATGATCTGTGAGGGGATGTGGCCTGGAGGACCTTCGGGGACACGGACACCCGGACACCCGGGAGATATCCTGGGTTATTCTAACCGGGAGGACTTAGCAGGATTCCTCAAGTAGCTATGCTGGACCCCTGCGGGCTCCTATTACCCTTCATGTTCAAGTGCAGGCTATGTACCTATGATGGAGATATACATGAGTAATGTTTTAAAAAACATAGAAATGGACTGTTGGTTATGAGTAGTATATTTTAATTTGGGGATAGATTCATGCTGCTGTAAAATATGAAATTCTCTTTCTGAGGGAATCTGTTGTAACAGGATTCAGCTATGGGCTCAGAAAATATTGATCTCCTACCATGTGTGAGATACTGTTAGAATATGCATATTTCTCTGTCTGTCTCTATATACATATACACATAAAAGTGTATTTATGAATCTAGGTATACAAAAATTGGTGGTGGCTCTTTAGCAGAGTGAATTTACTAAACGCGCAGCACGTACTGTTTAAACTGCTCACCTGATAGTCATTAGCCTTGAGTAACCACTTATGTTATTATCTCAGAGTTATTTCACTCTTCTTGCTTAGATTTTGGCGCTCCGTCGGTCTCTGAGCTTTTCTAGGTTGGGTTTAGGGAACTCCCCCGGCCCCGTTACCTAGCTCTAATTCCCAGCGCTACTGGGAAGCATCAGGGGGCTCACGCCTTCAGCTGAGAGGGGATTACGTTTCTCGAAAGCATCTGCCCGACCCACAGTTTTTGCAAGGAGTCTTTACACCTTGGGACACCTTGGCAAGACTTTAGAGGAAGATGTAACACGGTATACGGCGGTCGGTGCTTCGCAAACTTCAGCGTGTCTACGAGTCACGCGAGGACTTGTCCAGGGGAAGGTTCTGAATCAGTGGGGCCGAGGCCGGGCCTGAGAGTGTGCGTGTGACAGGCCCACGTGATGGGGGTGCGTGGTTACGCGGGATGGCAGCATCTGAGATCTGACTCTTACAAACGTGAGGAGTCGCGATGCTGCCCCCGAGCCGGGCCGCGCAGTCCTACCGCAAGCTCAGCCGCCTGGGTCGCCCCGGCCGTCCGCGGTCCCGTGTGTCCCGGCCCCGCGCCCCGCGGCCGTCCGGGCCACAGTCGGAGCGCAGCGCAGCTAGGACGTCCCCAGACCCGGCGGACCGGTCTGACCTGTCCCGCTGGGGGCGGGGGGCGGGGGGCACCACCCCCCCAGCCCTGGCCCACGGAGGCGGCAGGTACCGGCCCTGCCCTGGCTCTGCCCGCCTCTCCCGGGGCCGCGGAAGCGGGGACCAGCGCGGCAGCTGGTCGCGCACGGTCTCCAGCGCCCGGTGTGGAACTGTTCAACCCAAAACACGATCACCAACCACTGACATGTTTTAAGAAACGCTACAGTTGGATGACTGCGGAACCCAAACAGACCAAATGGGAGGCAAGAAGGGAAAGCAATTGGCCCAATTCGGTTGGAGCGGCGGCTCGTGTTACACTCCCTTTGCCAGTTAGCGGCGTGGGCGTTTGTTGCTGTGTTAATTACAGTTCTTCCCGGAGTCGGAGGCGAGAACAGCCCTTGTGGAACCGTTTCAAGTGGAACGTTCCACCAGGAGGAAAACAACTGCCTTCCTCCCCATCTGGGCGGGATTCCACCCCGCAGCTCTCGGCGGTAGGCAGCGAGGGACAGGCGTCCGGAGCGTGCACTGCGCCACGCAGCACCCGGCAGTGCTGGGAGCTTCGCGCTTCTGCGCGGCAGCTCCGGGGAGACCCAGTGCGCTCGGGGCGAAGCGCAAACCTGTTGGCTTCTTCTCCCGAGGGCACGCCTGGCGCGGGAGGGCGGGCGCACCTTTCAGTTTTCCTGGTTGTTCAGAGTTGTGGGGGCTCCGAGTGGGAAGCGGGGAGGACAGCCTGTTTCGTCTCCGGATGGGAGAATAAGGACGGCACGGAGAGTTCAGAAGGAACGTGGCAGGGCAGAAAGTACAAGGACTAACAGACACCATGGCCAGTCTGTCCCTCATCGAGTACGTGTCTCATTTCTGAGCTCCAGGTGTCTCATACTTAACTTCAAAGAGCCAAGAAATACCCTTAATGTGGTATTGATTTTACTACCGGGACTCTTGCAAACACAATCCGTATGACAGCCTTACGAAGAAGTACTTTCTCTTTCCCAGAAAGCCGAGCCGGAGATGTTGCTGAATGTGCACAGGGTCGGGTCGTATCGCTGGTGCTGGAGGAGTCAGGATTCCTGGACACGGTGGCCCCGCTCCAGAGTCCACGGTGCAGCCCAGCCCTACGCGGCCTGTAAAGTGATAACGTGTATGTAAAGCACTGGGGAAATAGCAGGGTGGTAGCTATTACTGTTTCCATTACTATGGGGACACAAACATCAAGCTGATCCCGCCAGATGCACTGCCCCTGTTCATTTGAGAGGGAAGTGGCAGACCCATGAGGGTCCCGGTGGTTGCAGGAAATCCGTTAAAGGCGCCGGACGGGGAATGGGAGATGGGAATGTGGATCCCACACTAAGGCCGCCAGTGGTTCCATGCCACCGCCTTGCAAGGTGCGTCCCAGCCTAGATATAAAGAGCCTAGAAGGTCACTTAGGCAAAGCCACAGGTCAAATGGCTGCGCAAGAAGGGGAATGGGACTCGACTGGAGTCTCCTGTTGCTTGTACCTGGTCTGTATCACTTGCTGAATAAAAAAATGAACTAGGAGTGCTGCTACCATTTAAAAAAATACATTTTTCTACCATGGTACTTGGGCCTCTTAAGAGTAAAATTCTTGGAACTGACTAAAAAACTGCAATCCCAAAACCAAAAAACCACGAGGTGCACTTGAAACTGCCATTTTATGCACACTTAAGGGCTGGCTCAGGAGCCTAAGATAATATATGGGGAGTGCTTTGGAGTGAAAGCACTAGGGAACGATATTTTAAAAGGCTGCCATGCATGTTCTGATTGTAATAATAGTCTTCCTAAGAGAATTTTGTCACTAATGTGTGACTTTCACTCAGAGTTTCATGTCCTTCTTGGTAAAGCCATTTTCAGAATAGTTCAGGGACAGGGTGGGAAAGGGTCACCCCAGGAAACAGGTGTTACTGGGAGTGGTATAATCTCTGGCTAGGGAGAGCTCTCATGGAGTTGCCGGGCAGATATTTGGGTTCCAAAGAGCACAGCCCACTTATTTTCCACCAGGGCAGTGCCCATTCATCAGGATAACTTAGGGCTAGCTGGAAACCTGTGCACCCTGAATTAGTTTCCTATTGCTGCTGTAACAGATCACCACAAATTTGGTGGCTTGAAATAACCAAATTTATCATTTTACACTTCTGTAGGTTAGGAATCTGACTCAAGTGCATCCCACTGGTTGAAAATCAACATATCAGGGAGGCTTAATGGGCAAATCGGTTTCCATACCTTTTCTAGTGTCTGGAGGCTGCCAATGGGGGCCCGTTCTTCCGTTTTTCAGAGCCACAAATCACAGGTCACATTCTTCTCACATTGTGTCACTCCTGGTTCTCTCTTCTGCTCTGCTCTTCCACTAAGGACTCCTGATCTTGCCGCCCTCTCCCCTAGGTGGACCGGGATAATCTCCCTGTGCACTGATTGGCCAACTAAATTCCATTTGCATCCTAAATTCCCCTTTGGAATGTGATGTAACAATTCATAGGCTCCTGCAATTATAACATGGACATCTTTGGAGGCCATTATGCTGTGTGCTGTCCACCTCAATTGCTGTGGTAGTAGGCATCGCCTTAATTCATAAGCATATGCTCAGCATGTACTCTGCGAAAGGTATGAGTACAGTCTCAGGGACTTCTGGATCACACAGACTTGTGTTGAGTCTTAGCTCTGTCTGTCACCTACTAGTTATGTTAATTTGGGCTAGTTCTTGAATCTTTTTAATCCTCAGTCTCCTCATCTGTAAAATGAAAATAATAACAGTACCTACCTCATTGGATTGTTATTTTAATTAAATGAGATAATGTTGGACGACACAGCCCAGTGCCTGTGAATGTGTTTGGTTATTATTGTGGTCATTGTGTGTCATGGGGATTGTGTAGTGCCTGCCCTTGTGGAATTTGGGGAGTGAGGCACACACACAGAGTTGTGGTGTGAGACAACACACAGGGATAGTGAAAAGATAGAACAAATAGCACATTTAAGTGTTAATGGGTAAGTACTATGGAGAGAAGGATAAGATATTTGTAATGATCAGGAAAGGTCAGGAATGGAGGAGGCAGTATTGATGCTGGAACTTAAAAGAAAGGTTGGATTTAGGGGTAGAGGAGGGAATGTTGGACATAGGAACATTTACATGGAATGTGGCAAGGTGGCAGTAAAGAAGCCACAGGATGACATCATTTTGTGGAAGGGAGGGCTTGTGTAGGAGTGTTAATTAATTCATTTATTTGCACTTTTCATCAGAGTGGCTTAGGGGAGGAGTAGACTGTCAGACTCGAAAGGCCAGACTGTGAAAGGCATAGTGTGATAGGATAGATAAAATTTTTCTTCTGTGATAAAGGGGAGTCATGGAAGGTTTCAGAGCAGAGGTTGGTTCATGATGAAAGCAGTGTTTGGAAAGATTAATCCAAGAGAGTAATGTGTGTAGATGGGTTGTTGGAAGGAGAACCTGGAGCCAGGAGACTTGTTGGGGAATATTTGGAGTGGCTCACATAACAGTGAGCAGAAGGGCTATTTTAGCAACTGTCCTGAGTAAAGGGAATGGATGTGAGAGATACAAGAAATCAACAAAATTCCTGGAAAATTGGTCATGACAATAATAAAAATCAGATACAAGTTCAGTTTGCATTTTCTTGTTTGTGTAATGTGTTGGCAGGTCATTTGGATGGCACAGGTCCAGGTGACCATTGGGAATGTGAAACTGGAACGGAGAGAGAGAGAGGCTACACAGCTAGATGATTTGAAAGTCATCAGCAGAGAGGCAGTGACTAAAATCCTCTACCCTGTCCCCTAGCCTTTCATATCAAACCCATTTTAATGTCCATACATTCCTAGCGGCACCCTCCTTTTCTTTCTTTCTTTTTTTTTTTTTTAGGTACTGGGGATCGAACTCGGGTTCTTGCGCTTTCACAGCAGGCAGCGAAACCACTGAGCTAAATCTCCGGCCCCAGCACCCTCCTTTTCTTCGTTGTGTGTTTCCCTTTTATGCTCCTTGTTATGAGGTGAACTGTGTCCTCCCAAAATGCATATGTGAAACCCTATCTCCCAGCACCTCGGATGTGACTGTATTTGGTTGATAGGGGCTTTAGAGAGGTGATGAGGGTGAGCCCCAACCCAATACTTAGAATACTGGTGCCCTTCTATGGAGAGACTGGACCGAAGATAAACACAGAGGAAGTCACATGAAGACACAGAAGGGTCATCTGCGAGCCATGGAGAGACCAATTCTGATGGCACCTTGGCCTTGGACTTCTGGCCTCCAGACTTATGAGAAAGTTTTGTTGAGAAGCCACCCATTCGTGGCACTTGGTTGTGGTCATCTTTGAAAGCCAGTGACTCCTCCAGAGACTGTGCCCCTGGGCCACCATCCATCCATGTGGAGCTGTGGGCCCTCCATGCTGCCAGCTCACTCAGTGCCTACATTTCACCAGGACTGTTTCCCACCCCTGGGCCTCTGCTTTGTTCTGGGTGGTGTTTGTTTTCAGAACTGTTGTTCCCTGAGAATGGATGAAGAGCACTGCTCTGTGTCTTGGGAGACTCCTGCAGTGGGGAGGGACTCTGGTGTCCAGGGCTGGGCTTGTGGGAGCCAGAGTGGTCAGAGACACCTCCCTGAGCTCAGTTCACAGCTGTCAGAGGACTGTTGAGCCACCTGTTCTCAGCACCATCTCTGGCGGTGGATTCCTCATGTGCTGCCCTCTGTGAGCATGCACAGAACAGAAAGAAATGTGTTCCTCCTCACTAGCAAGGCAGGAATGTGGGATATCATTTCACTTATAATTCATGCTTCTTCTTCTTCCTCTTTTTGAAATTAATAGTGATTCTGAATTTCAGCTAAGCCTTGTTTTTTAGTATACAAAATAAAGACTAAAGAGCGTTGAAGACTGATTCAGAGCTTAAAGTAACCCTCAGAGGAAACAAATACTGATTTGCTCACACAGGCGCCTGTCAGGGTACAATTTGTGCTTGGATAACCCTGTTAGCTAAACTGAGCAGATTCCAAGTCCTGCCTACAGACTTTGGGACAGACCTATTCAGAAGAGGACTTGTCCTTGGCGACTTCTGTGTTCATTACAGCTAGCCTTTATGATGGATTGAGACAGTGATTATGAGGAAGGTGCCGATGAACTGTTCTTCATCTTCCTGGAGGACAGAGTGAGAAAAGCCAGGCAATAGGTCTGGTTCAAAAGAGCCTTGCTTGCAAGGGCCATTTTAAGGTCTGACTAGGTTGTTCTCTAGCTCCCTCTTCTGGAAAGTTATGATACTACCCTTAATTTTTCTCTTGATTCACTTGACTATTTAACGTGATGATTGTTTATGTGCCTGCTCCAACCAATAGACTGGGAACTCCCAAAGAGCATGGTTTCAGTCTCATCCATCTTTGTCTCTGTGCCTTAGCTTCTAGCTGGCAGTCTGTAACCTCTGGCTTTCAGTGGATGGTGAATGAATGACTAGTTGAATCTTTGTCCCTTGAAAACGTTTAGGCATGATAGAGATGAGAGAGAGAGAGGGGAGAGGGGAGGAGAGGGGGGGGGAGAGAGAGAGAGAGAGAGAAAACTTGGTTGGGGAGGAGAAATAACTTGGAAATCGTGACTCTAGTGGTTTTGTGAGAGATTTTATTGTAGATATCAGAAGAAGGGTGTGTTTAGTGTATCTGAATATCTAGTACATGCTGATTAAGACATAAGTGTCAGGTGATTGACTAACAAAGGGCTGGAAACAGGTACTTGCCAGAGGGAGAGTTGTGGCTTCCTCTCTAGAGATCTTTAAGGAGAGAGATACTGTTATATTTCTGAAATGGGTGTAGGCAACCTGCTAAATGCAAATTTTCTCAAGTCTTAAAGGTTGATCAGAAACATGAGTGTATACTGAATGGACAGTACAGATTCTGTTTATTGATTTCTACTCTGTGTCAGATGCATTTTGTTTGATACACACACGCGCACACACACAGACACGCACACACACATACGAGTGAACCCAGGGTCTCATACACACTAGGCAAGTGCTCTGCTACTGAACCACATCCCCAGCCCTCTCAAATATCTATTTCTTGAGTGTTCCTTCCATTTTACAGAGGGAGAAACTGAGGTGCAGAGAGGTTTATTCATTTGGTCCATTATATTTCTTAAGTTC